CAAACACTCCCCAATCCCTTGTATATTACTACACACAGAAATTCCTTTCAATAAATATTGGTTGACTATTTCATAAAGTACTGATTTTTTTTTTCAGAATGTGAATTGCTCCTGGTAGCAAGTTGAGAACAAGGAACATGACATGTCTTTCCTTGATATCAATCCTGCCTTTTCCAGAAGGGGAAATGGAAAATCATTTCTCCCTCCTGATAGATGGATTGAAAGGGTCACCACTCCACTGACTGTGTTTTTTATGTATATTTCCTATATCCCCAATGTATTCTATTATGTGGTCCCATGGTCTCCACCTATTTAGCATGTAATGACCCATTCCCTAAACGAGCCTAAGCTGTGCTTATTTTTTTAATAGGTACATTGCACTTCAGGCTCATATGAAGTGTTTGGAAGACTTTTCCCAAATATTTCTCTGAAATTCAGATAAATTTAATGGACTCTCTGTGTTTGGTTTCATATGATGAGTGGTTACCATTAGTTGGAGACCAGACAGGATATTGAAAAGATCCCCATGTTTTATGTCTCCTTCTTAAGAAATCCATGTTAGAACCTAATGAACAGTGCTAATGTTTTATAATGTTCTATGGCCATTTGGGGAGATATATGTTCTAGACTTGACCAAAGTCAATTTCAGGGACTATAATCTTCTCCTTTTGAAAATTGTGATAATCTAACTCTGGTTCCCTGGAACTTTTTTTTTGCATAATCTCTTCAAAATCAATGATTTTGACATTGTTCTAAAAAGTTTAGAGTAATCCCTCTGAAATCTCTTTCAGCACCTCAGCACCTCCAGAAGATCATACCAGGTTTTTGACCCAAGGTAGGATGTGATTGAATTGAACTGAGATGGGAAAATTTTAGAAGCAACAGTGTTTTAGGGGAATATCAGTTACTAAACATGTTCCTTTTCAATGTCCAATGGATATCCAAGTGGAAATGTTACATAGACAGTTGGATGAAGAAGTCCAAGACTCAGAGGAAGTATCTAGGCTGGGAATAATTATATACAGATGATAATTAAAGACACAGGCTTTATGAAATAAAGTAGTGAGTGGCTGTATACAGAAAAAAAGTTCCAAGATTGAAATCAGGGGGCATGCCAGATCAGTGATGGGGGACAGGAGATATTAAGGAAGATCCAGCCTGAGACTGAGCAGCAGGTGAAAAGCCAGGTGAATGTCGTGTCCTAGAAGCCAAGTGAAAAAAGTATTTCGAGGAGTTCTTTTTCTTAACTCTCTGGGTTCTCAGACTTTGAACAGGGTCAATCTGAGGGGTCGGTGAGATCTCAGACTTTGAACAGGGTCAATCAATGTGAGGGTTCTGTGAGATTCATTTTAGAAAAATGTTTGTTTCTCCCAAGAATATTCTAAACTACCTCTGAGACTTCACTCACCTGATGGCTCTGCTGCCTCTGACATGGCCAGAGCTGCTGTGGAATGGGGAATCAGGAGACCTTATTACTCATGCCAACTCTACTTTTTCCTACCACTGTGACTCTGAACAAATTACGTTTTATCTCCCTATGAAATGGTCCTAGCTATGCCTCCCTACCCTATCCATAGGCCAATGAAATGATCCAAGGAGCTAATAGGGGGGTAGAGTATTCTGTGGGTTGTTGAAGTATGTACAAGGATACCATCACTGTAACTGGGGTCCAGCAGGACCAATATTTCTTGCTCTGAAGGCCCAGGGAAGCCAAGTCTCTTGGTTGATGGATGCTGAGGGAATCATGAAACACATTCTGGCTCACGTGTCCTTTCATAAATTACTTCTCAGTAGGGTATCTTTTCCTTTTAGAAATACCTTTTTTTTTTTTTAATAGTCTTTAAATATATTCTTTAAAAAGATAATAACAGCTGGGGCGCCTGGGTGTCTCAGTCGGTTGAGCGCCTGACTTTGGCTCACTGTTGGTGAGTTCAAGCCCCCTCAGAGCCTGCTTCAGATCCACTGTCCCTCAGATCCTCTGTCCCCCTCCTTCTCTGCCCCTCCTCGGCTTGCACTCTCTCTCAAAAACAAAAAAAAAAAAAAAAAAAAAAAAAAAAACCTAAAAAAATAATAACCACTAAAATTTTATAATTAATGCAACTCCTTTTATTTCAAAAATCTTCATTGTGGTAGGCCATAAGTGCAATAAATTTATAAGCTGCTTTCCCAAACTAAGACCTTTATCTTTCTATATTTAGAAGTCTCTATATCTAAACACATTGTAGTTCTATCACTGCTTTTAGGCCCTCCAATTTATTATGGAAAAAAAGAAAAGAGAGAGAGAGACGGTATTTATCAGCGAAACTCCTTTGTGCATGATACTTAATGCATTTTTATTTTTCAGTTGTCTTTTTTTCCAGTTCCCAACAAAAATAAATAAACATTAACAATATCTTGTAAAGTAGCTATATTCTCCTTCAATATCTTAAGGTACACAATTATCAAAGCTGATATTGAACACAAACAAATTGATACAATTCAGTACTCTGATAAAATCCATTGTCAAATAAGTTAAACTGCATGCAATACAACTTTATGGTCCATAGCCTCTTCAATATAAACTGCATACCAAAATGGCTCTTCCAACTTAAAAAGTGCAATTACAGAGTGCAAAAACAGCAAAGAGGAAAAATACACTATCTTACACTTAACCTCATCCAGTTTGAATAACGGGTATGCTTTAGATAAAATTACTCTTTTGCTAGAACAGTAAAAAAGTACACTGCTTATGCAAGTTGTTACTCCCCTTCTCCCATGTGCATAAGAATAGAAAAAAAAAATCAGAAAACATTGAGCAGCCAGTTAAACACATTTTTTCCCTCCAAAGTCTACAGAGTGGATATAGGAGCAAAAATGACCACGTGGATCAGACATGAGCTTTCAAAAATCAGATTATTGAATTCAACAGAAATTAGAAACTGATACATATATTTCTAGCATGAAAATTGGTTTGATGCCTGACAGCACGTATTCTCAGTACTTTGGAGATATATAGAGAAATATGTATCGTGAGAAATCTGTAAAGCAAGAAAGATAGACGAAACATGAGCCCAAATCTTTCCACTGTTGGAAATTTGAGCTGATGACAATCATCGTCGATACCTGCTCAGCATCGTCCTCATTAAAACAATTACTTCTGACATATTGTCACCCGCAAAAAGCAATCTGGGTCGCATCCTTTCATTATTTACTATACATTTATAAACAAAGATTTAACTTTTATAGGGGTTAGTTTTTTAAGCATTCGTAAGCAAAGATTAAAAACACCCCCAAACTACTTACAATTTGTTACTTAGTAAGGACTGAGACGTTTAAGATAAACCAATATAACCCTCTTTGGTAAGCAAAATAAGTGAATTGCTATTGATATCTTGGTAAGTCAGTACATTTTCTTTGACACCGACAAGATCACTTAGAGTAAGCAGACTTCATTTACATCTAGTAGGCGTCAGTAACAATGTGTAGGACTTAAAATGTATTCTTACACAGCACTTTTGATTTCAGCTATATTAAAAGGGGAAATGGAAATATCCTTTTAGGTCTAAAAGTTTTATTTCTTTTTTTTAATGTTTATGTATTTATTTTGAGAGAAAGAGAGAGAGAGAGTAGGGGAGAGTTGGAGAGAGAGAAAGAGAGAGAGAAGCCCAAGGCGACTCCAGAGTAAGGCCCAAACTCACAAACCACGAATGAGATCGTGACCCAAGCGGAAATCAAGAGTCAGACTAACCAACTTAGCCACCCCCCCCCCCCCCGGTGCCCGTTATTTTATTTCTCTTTTTCTTGTGTTTAAGTTTTATGTGCTGTTGAATGGGCAACAAATGACTACAATTCTATGAATGAGCTCATGTGTCCATGTGTATTTGCATATGAATTTGTATATTACATAATATGCATATATATATATGTTTGCTTATATATATGCATATTTTATGCACACATGCACGCGCGTGCACACACACACGTGTTTTTCCTCTAATAGTGAGGGACCAGATCCAACACTTTAGAAAAGAGTCATGTGAGAGCACCATGGTACAAATAAAGGGATACATATGGCGGCAAGTCCTGGCACCTAGCACTTCAGAAGTCAGCTGTTGTTTATTTTCTCTTTGTTGCCCTAGCACCTGCCAGGAAAAAAGGTGAACAAAGAGGAGACCCTCCCTAACAAGGTGTGTGATCCTGAGGGACTCTACCCAAAGGTCTAGTATTCCAAGAGGCAGTGTCCCCTGAGACCTGGAGGTGTTGACAGCTGTGGTTCCTCACGCGGTTGCCCCCAAGTACCCTTAGTAATGCAACGAGACCATGGGCTCAAGCACAGGAGGAATCTTTATCTTTTCCAAAAAAATAAACAAAAGACAGCAAGCAGGGCCCTGGTTTCACCTCAGTGTCCAAAAGAAGGCATGGTTAAGTCTCTAAATTTTAAAAGTTTTCCAATGAATTTGTTCATTTGGGAAAATACACTATGGTCTATATTTCTTATTGTTTTCCACTTCCTACATCAGGATATGATTTTACACATTTAATCTTAAATTCTAGAAGGAGCTACTTACTGCATTGTTTTAAATTAAAACTCTGTTGCGTAGAAGATGAAATAACCATATTTTCCATCTTTAAACAATATACAGAATTACTGTCTTAGACTTTAAAATAATGATTAGTCCATCAAATTTTGGACTACGATTTAATCTTAGAATTCTTGAGGCACCTGGGTGGCTCAGTCGGTTAGATGCCTGACTTCAGCTCAGGTCATGATCTCGTGGTTTGTGAGTTTGAGCCCCACGTCGGGCTCTGGGCTGACGGCTCAGAGCCTGGAGCCTGCTTGGGATTCTGTGTCTCCCTCTCTCTCTGCCCCTCCCCCACTCACGCTCTGTCTCTCTCTCCTTCAAAACTAAACATTAAAAAAAAATAAAAAAAAATCTTAGAATTCTTAATCAAAGTCCCTATGAAAACAAATACTTTTAAAAAGAAGCCCAAATTTTGGCTTCAAGTGTGGATTTTTTTTAAATTTTCTCATGAACATATGTTTCTCAAGAAACATCGTGAAGCTAGAAAACACCTACTATTTACATAAAAGATGGCATAAAATGAAGTTGTCAATTCCTTTAATGCAGGAAGAATCTGCAGCTGGGTGACTTGTGTCCACAGTTGTGAACTGGCAGAGGGCACTGTCCACTTGCCCTCCAGGCCAGTCACCATGGAATCAGAGCTGAGGGTAGGGACAGAAGGATACAGCCCTCCTGGGTCTACTTCGTTCCCTGCGTGTAGTGCTTAGCACATGATATAGACTCGCTTCTCCCCAATTCCCATTGCATTAGTGTTTTAATACATGACACAGTGGTGCCATGACATACATCAAACTGTGATACAGTCAAATCAATTATCGCTCATGTGAGGAGTAGGAAAATATTCATTCGATTTGACCATATACATTTAGGCTTCACAGGAATCTGTCATTTGCTGACCCTTCCTGAGTGATGAACTGGACATCGCTCACTCCTAAGCATTGTGTAGCTGGCAAATGAGCTTTGAAGCTAAAGCATTTGGCCCAGGAAATTATTTCTTACAAAAATAGGACTTCTTTCTATATTATATATTTCGTATACATTATACATTAGCAAATAGTCTGTCAAAAATAAAACAAAAATAAAAAACTTTTCCAAGTATATTAAAAATGCACCATTGTTGACTTAACACATGATCCAACATAAATATTATTAATAAAATAGGAATATTAACATAATCAGGCACGCTGCGCATCCCTGCCCATAGCTGGACGGCAGCACTCAGACTTGTGGTAATGCTGGATCCCCTGACGTCACCCTTTCGTATTCCTTCTTTGGTTCTTTACTCTTCTGATTTCTGTACCTAGAAATATTCAGAAATTGAAACTGTTAGCACTGTAGTTAACAGTGAGAAGAACAAAGTATGCTAACAAAACAAACCAACATATGGACTCAAAAGAAACATCAGCACAGTGTTTCCAAAATGACAAAAGTCAACAGATTTAGGTTGGGCAAGAGAAAAAAAAAAAAAAAGAGGGAGAAGGGGTAGTATTCTGTGGTCAAACAATTTAGGGAGGAAATGGTGAAACACAGTTAAAGGACTCTTCAGAGGTTTTAACATGTCCTGAAAATTACAAAATTCCAGGAAAGCATGTGACCATATTTAAGCCTGGGTGTTTTATTCTCTGTCTCTCTCTTTCTCTCTCATTTCTGTTTCTTTCCTTTCCCTTCTTTCTCTCAATCTCTCCCTCTGTCTTTCCTTCCTTCTTTTTTCTTCCTTCCTTCCTTCTTTGCTTCCCTCCCTCCCTCCCTTCCCTTTCTTCTTTTTCCCTTCCCTTCCCTTCCCTCCCCTCCCTTCCTTTCTCCTTCCTTCCTTCCTTCCTTCCTTGGTTCTTTCGTTCCTTCCTTCCTTCCTTCTAGAAAACTAGTATGTGAATACCATACTACATCATTATATTCTATCCATCACATTGATACAATGTTATCACCAAAAGCAATTAGAATAACTTCTTATTATTTATCAAGCACTAATTAGTGGCTGACAATGCCCTAAGTGCTATACATTCATTACTCATTCTATTCTCACATTCTCACATTGCCATTATCATCCTCATTTTATAGATGATGACAGTGAAGTACAAATGGGTTACATAAGGTCAAGTTCTGCCAGCTAGGATTCAGAATCTCCATTCATTCATTCGTTTGTTCAAGCTATCCTCCTAATATTTTGAATTCATTTTCTACCCATTTCGGAGATGAGGCATGTAGCCTTGAGGAAACTGCACGTTTATGCTTAGTGGAGGAATACAATTTGAAAGCTTTTGTTTAGACACAGACACAGTTCTGCCACTTGCCAACTATATGAGCTGAGGCATGTCAAATGACCTCTCTAGGTCTCATTTCCCCAATCTTTATAAAGGAAAGGATTGTAGTCAAAGATCTTTTAGGGGTATTTCAGTTTTAGTAGTGTTCAGTTCTGTGATCATAACTAATTAGGAAGGCGTTTTAATTTGATGAATACTTAGAATCAATCATGGGCAAAATAAATTTAATCTTATAAAAGTAGCACACTTTCCGACCGTCACAAGTAGAAGCACATTGCTTTCAGCAAACAAACAAAATGACATCCACTCAAATCTTCACTGAAAAATTTGTACCAGCTCCAAAATAAGAAGGATTTCACGGAGACAGTTCAAGGCAGCTGTTATTAACTAATTCACACTGTTCCCAGACCCTGGTCTTAAACCCTAAAACACAACCAACAGTCTGATACACTGTCAGTAATTTCAAAACTCATTGTATTTTTTTTTCTCAGTGATCAGCCTCTGTCAGTATAGTATTATACAACAGGCTGGGGTGCCACTGTTCTGGGAGACGGGAAAAAGTAAGCTCTTAACAACTGTCTGGAAATTCCTGTCTACAAGTCTGCCTTAAACTTTAAAATCCTAAGCCTCTAGGGTTATTAATTTACAAAGCACATGCTTTATGAAATACAAAATTTAACCTAATAATTAAATACAAATGGTTAAACATAACATTGACATCATGCCTTATGGTTTCTTTAACATGCATGATAATACTCAATGCTGAAAATGGTCCTGTCATTAATGTAGAAGATTTTTATCTGTATATTATAGAAGAAAGAACTGATACTCTAAGCTTGGCTTGTACAGCTTATAGAGACAATAAATAGCAGAGCTAATATTAGAGTCAAATCCATATGATCTGCCACTGAAACTTCTTTTTTGTAAATATCATCAGTGGGGGCGCCTGAGTGGCTCAGTTGGTTAAGCCTCGAACTTTGGCTCAGGTCATGATCTCACAGCTTGTGAGTTCTAGACCCACAACGGGCTCTGTGCTGACAGCCCAGAGCCTGAAGCCTGCTTCCAATTCTGTGTCTCCAACTCTCTCCGCCCCTCCCCCCCTTAGAAATAAATGTTTTAAAAAATTTAAAAAAATACGTATCATCTGTGCAGAGTCCATCGTATCCCTCTAAATAACACTTTGTCCATAGTCTTACCCAGTTTTTTAGCCTGCATTGTATAAACATAATACGCAGAAGCAGAGTGCAGAAACCACCGGCTTACCATCTGCAGAAGTAGTATATAGAACCGGCAACGACGACGAGAAACAAGAAAACGAGAATCACAGTCAAAGCGACATATTCTTTGCTCAAGGGCTGTTGGACGGTTAAAAAGAAGTGCTCGCAGCGGACCCCAGTGTAACCCACTTCACACCTACAGGAACATGGGAGAGAAAGATCGGTTATTTAAAAAAGAAATTATCATTAAGAATTCGTTTTGTAAGGAGTCGTCTCACACTGTGATACAGGAAACCGAGAAGGTTGCTGACAGCTGTAAACAGGAATTCAAAGACTGGCCTCAGAGCGGGGCCCACATTGATATCAGAGCTCCACACAGCTCTCAGCTTAACTGTGGTGCTAAGTGACAGGCTGGCCCAGCTGCCAGGGTGGCTGACAACCCACAAGGGGGTTTGGAAAGTTTTCGTAGGGTGGAGGTGCATTTTGTCTTAATCAGTTCAATCAATCCTTAAAACAGGGGCTGATGTAGAAGTCCAGTGGAAAGACTAAAAGCAGAACCACCTTCATGGTCTATGAGAAGGAGGCATCAAAGCCTACCCGACTCTGTACCCTGGAAATATCGTTACAATTTGAGAGCTACTGTTTCTTCCAGAACTTAAAAAAAAAAAACATGCTTAATAACGTTACTAATAGCACATATAACTGCATGCTAATAGTATGTATAAACTACAGCCCCTGGAAACACATCAACTTCAAACAATTTAAAAAAAAGAGTATATGTCTAAAAAACACTTTTTTTTTTTTTTGCATATTACCTGCAATAATTTTCACTCATGTCCACCAGGTAGATGCACTGTCCATGCAAACAGAAGCCATTCATGTCAGAGCCACACTTTGTTATTGAGACTTGAGCCACACGTGGATTGTCTTCTGTCTGAACTGTGAAGGAAATGGAAAGTTGGATATATTCCGCTGCCTTCTTCGAAGCATGAATCACCCTTTCATATAGTCATTGCTGAGCTACTGTAGCAAAGCAGGGCAGGTACTAATCAGTCGAGGAGACTTTTCAGGATTAAGTCCCTCTAGTTATCACAGTTCCTAGGCCAATAAACAAACATTTGACCCCTAAGGAGAAGGACCAACAGACTAAACAAACAAAATAAGACCTAGGCATTTAATTCACAAAGGATAATCTTGAAGGATAGAAAAGGAAAGTTTACGACACACAAAAATCATTACCCTCCAAAGTTATTCACTTAACCCAAGTGTGTCTGATGTTTTTCAAATCTCAAAATAATTCTGCAGTTCATTACTCCAAAAGCAACTGCAAACTGAAACCACTAATTAGTTCAAGAGAGCAAAGTTTTATAGTGGGTTTTCTTTATTTTATTTATTAACTAACTCACACTGTTCCATACCCTGGCCCTAACCCTAAAACACAGCCAACAGGTTGATATACTATCAGTAGTTTCAAAACTCATTGTATTTTTTTTCTCAGTAATCAGCCTCTGTCAATACAGTATTGTACGACAGGGTGGGGTGTGAGTGTTTTGGGGGACTGCAAAAAAGTCAAAAATCTTTTAGGAAGGCATGTTTCGGTGTATATTCCCAAATTTTTGAGGGTACCATCAAAGAAATCAACCAAAGCCTCCCCAACATCTGTAACCATGAGAACTGAACTAGACAAATTTTGACTTCCAAATACCCGGGGCTGGGCAAACACAACAGTGAAAATAGAAGCCTTTTTAGAAGTAGTGTTGCAACCTGTATGTAAAATTCATTTTAGGATTTTTAGTTACTGAAATGTGAAGGATGCTTATGAAATAATCAAACAATAGCATCCTGATTGTAATACTCCTGCTGAAAGAAATAAACAAACAAACAATAACAAAAAAAGGGAGGGAGGCAGACCAAACTTCTGAAGAGTCCAGTGATGAAGGAAGAAAAGAGAACAGAAATACTAATCCAAAGGAATGCATACGTCCCAATGTTGATAGCAGGGCTATCTACAATCGCCAAACTATGGAAACAGCCCAAGTGTCCATTGACTGATGAATGGATAAAGATGCGGCATACACACACACACACACACACACACACACACACACACACACACTGGAGTGTTACTCAGCCATAAAAAAGAATGAAAGCTTGCCATTTGCAACAACATGGACGGAGCTAGAGGCTATCATGCTAAGTGAAGAAAGCCAGTCAGAGAAAGACAAGTACCATACGAATTCACTCATATGTGGGATTTAAGAAACAAAACAAATGAGCAAAGGGAAAAAAGAGAGAGAGAGAGAGAGAGAGGCAAACCAAGAAACAGACTCTTTATACAGAACGAACTGATAGGAGGTGGGTGGGGGATGGGCAAAATAGGTGGTGGGGATTAAGAAGGGCACTTGTGATGAGCACTGAGTGTTATAGGGAAGTATTGAATCACTATATTGTACACCTGAAACTGATCTTACACTGTATGTCCACTAACTGAAATTTAAATAGAAACTTAAAAAAAAAAAAAACCTAAATAGTGGAGGCATAACAAAAAGGAGGGTAAGAGAGAAGGTAAAATTAATGTGGGAAATACCCTGGTTCCTCAGGATAACGTTCGACTCAATATTCAGACTGAGTCTAAATTAGAGCTCTCTTGAACCACATCCAGAGTCCTCAGGGGTCCCCGAGGAAAATAGACTATGTGTGACTTCTCTCTGTGTTCCTATGCCTATGCACAGTGTTTGGCATGTATTAAGTACTCCATAAATATTTTCTGAATGAACGTTGTAACTGAAAGAAAGGACATCATTCGTTCCTTTTACAAAAAATAACAACAAAATATATTGATTATCTACTGTGTACCAGGTTAAATTTGCCTACTTTGCCTGGGATCTAATCTCTAGCAATGGTTTCACAGCAAAGTTCTAGGGAATGGCCAAAGGGCATCTGAGTTTCCTTGTCCTATCTCTTTAAGATCCACTCATTCCAGAGAACTAGATGCCCACTCCCTCTCCCACCAGTTATTCTTTTATATCGTTTTTCCAGATGTAGTTCATAAATAAGGTGCTAAAAAAATTATCAGTATTATTATTTACAAGTTTATTTATTTTTGAGAGAGAGAGAGAACACAAGTGAAGGACGGACAGAGAGAGAGGGTGAGAGAGAATCCCAAGCAGGCTCAGTGCTGTCAGCACAGAGCCCGACTCAGGGCTGGATCCCATGAACCAGGCGATCATGACCTGAGCTGAAACCAAGAGTCAGACGCTCAAGTGACTGAGCCACTCAGCACCCCCCCCCACAATTATTTTGTTAACACAGAAGCTGTTTCTCTCCCCTTTCTCTACACTGTCACATATTCATAGTCTTTGAGTTCATTTCTGTTAAGAATGTGTGACCGTCCGGGGCAGCACTGGCAAAGCCGGACTCACCTAAAGCTGTACAGTTATCTTCGGATTCTCCTGGGATGCATGAAGGAATCACGGTGGTGCCGAAAACTGCTTGGAGAAGATGGCAACCTAATAACGGGGGGAATCCAAATATATAAACAGTGCTTCAAAAAAAGAAACCCTGATCACAGTTTCATGTAACCACACTACTTACAGGGTTGTTTTAATGATTTCAAGAATTTGATCCATTGAAACCATAAAAGAAACTGATTTGTAAAAACAGGAAATAATTGAAAATCAATGAGCCCCCAGCTCTCGGTCTAGGGGTAAAAACCTTGGCATGACATTCCTAATTTCAGATTTGCCCTGTTCCCAGGGTCAAAGACCTGATTTTGAAATGTGATTTCCTAGAAGCTTAGCAACAGAAATTGTAGAGACTTTCCACTATTTTGCTCCATGATGTGTTTGGAGCAATGCTCCAAGATAGAGCTTATTACACACACGCATACACACACACACACACACACACACACGCACAAAGGCTTAACTGACAATCAGTTTCTATTTACAGTAACAACTAAACAGGACTCTCAACCATGTATATGTTCCTTTGTTGATTTAAGTGCCCAGCTTACTGTTTGCATTGTATTATGCACAAAAGTAGATTTTAATTAATAAAATGTAATCTAAGTAAAGTCAGAATATATCTTATCTAACGTGGGAGCAAACAAACACGCTAGATGAAGCACTGAGCCCTGGAATCCAGTTTCTGTCAGCCCAGTAAAAGTTTGAACAAGGCATTTCATTGTGTGTCCCCACTTGATAGGCCAATGTTGGAAAACAGGCTCCGGAATGACTTAAGTAGTTTCTGAATTCCATAGAAAGTGTAAGAAGAGTCCTTTCCATTGCACAGATGTTTACTGAAGAGGGTTTAGCTGCTTCTGTTTAGGAGTCGGGCATTTGCGCTTCACCCCTCTTTCTAGGCTAGACGAGTAACTTATATAATAAATACTAATGGTGGTGATGCAGTTGTGGATAGCAGTTAACATTTCTTGAGCATGTACTATATGCAGGCGTGGCTCTTGTCCTCTTTATCTATATTATCTCATTTAATCCACCCAGTGACTCTTTGAAGAAGCTACTACTGTTATCCCCACTAAGCATATGATAAAACTGAGACTTAAGGAGTTTAAGTAACTTTCCCAAGGGTACATAGCAATGTTGTTAACGGGCCACATTATAGAACCTGGAAAGGGCAATAATACAGACATCACACAGACAAACCAGGGTAAATATGATTGAAGCAGAGTATGTTAATGCTGTAGGGAGGCAACCAAGTGTGATGGAAAGGCAATCCTGGGGGAAAACTTGGGTTATGTGATTTTGGACAAATTAATTAGTTTCTCTGGCTCTAGATTTCCCCCACCTTACAGAGTTTGGGGGCGAATTAAATTAAATGATCTTTTTCCAAAATGCCTAACACACCAGAGACTCCCACAAATGTTCCAGGATACTCAGGGTCTAGCCTCTAGTTTTAGCAGTATGTGTGCGTAGTGCCCTCTCCTGGTCTATAACAAGATTACAAATCTCTTTGTAATTTGATATTTTAAAGTATGATTTAATCCAAGTAATAAAAGATTTTATCTTATTTTTTTTCTCGATCAGAGGAGACATGGATAAGTTAAACATACTGCATATTATTGCTAAAAACTACATTACACATCTGCATCATAGCTTCTAATTTCATAAGTTTCAAACTAGACCCTTAGAACAATCCGATGAAGTAGTTAGTAGCCCCCCCCCCCAAATTTAACATCAGGGAAGTTAAATTAAATGTCTTGTCCAAGACCGATTACATAGTGAGCGTAGAAAATAAGAGTTGGAATCTATGTTTGGACAGCAAGTCTCATAATCTTCCAATGATTTGACAATGCCTTTTTTGAAAAGTTTAGAACTATCTCCTTCCCACCCCATACTTCTCCTACAATATAACTAACTGCTTCAGTTGCTCATAAAGGAAAAAAAAAATCATCTTTCTTAAATAACAAAAAAGAAATCCTAAAGTCTGGATTTCATTGTCATTTGAACAGAGATAGAAAAAAATAATTTGTTCCACACAGCTTTTTTTTCTTTAATATTTATTTTTGGGAGAGAGAGAGAGAGAGAGAGAGAGAGAATGCACCGCGAGGGAGGAGCAGAGAGAGAGGCGGACAGAGGATCCAAATGGGCTCTGTGCTGAGGGGCTGGAACTCAGGATCCCTGAGATCATGACCTGAGCTGAAGTCAGACGTTTAACCGACTGAACCACCCAGGTGCCCCTCTCTATATATCTTTTTATGAAGAATGAGCCATCAACCAGGCCAGCTTTGTTCCACTTCTCAGTATAATTTGGCCATGCATTTTCCTATGGCAGAATTAAACCCTTTAACTTATACAGTCCGCTCAACACAAACAGGAGCTCTAGCTGTGTGATTTTACATTCTTGGTGCCGGTCTTCCTCCATGCTTCTTCATCTGAGGAAGGCTTTGGAGAAAACGTTACCAGTGCTCCTACCAAGAATTTCGCCCGTCAGCCCCATCCACCGTGCAAACACACATTGGAAGCTCATTTCTCTCTCCTTTGTGGAAATCAGAAACTAGCCTTTCCTGTTTGGATCTGCTTACACCTGCAATCTGCAACTATTATAGAATTCAGCTAATTGTTTTGGGGTGTTGCTTCTTAGTCTTTTTTTTTTTTTTAAGGTTTTTAGTAGTTGTTAGTTTTTCCACTGTTGGAAACTTTGTTCCACCTGGTCAGGCCACAGGTGACATATTTGTCTTTGTGAATTAAAGAATGTTCAGTGCAGGGCGTGTCTCTACAAAAACTGGGCTCTGGTAACCTGTGACGCTCCCTTGGACATCGTCCACCGCTTGGGATGGTTTCTGCGAGACTAGCTCTCTCTGCATGAATTGAACATCCGGGTCTTTTACAGATGAACTGGTAAATAATTTTAAATGCTTTCCTCAAATGAAAGACTGCACTCCATCATGGATGTACATAGCCAATAAAATAGCAAAATTGGTTCTAAAGCTGTGTCCCTCTGCATAGCTCTGTTTCTTTAAAAGAATGATTCTCGAGCTTCTGTCAAGTTCGTCTCTGCTCCAGGCCCTTGCAAACTCGAGTAGGTGGAGCTGATCAAAATATTTAAAAAGGGAACCCATGGAGAATTCTGATATCCACCACCTTGTCACCCTTAGGAAACACTACTCATTACTTTAAAGTCAGACAGGGAAGGAATAGACGCTAAAGTCATATACATACATTTCCTTATCTTACAGGTTTATTCCCTGCTGTTAGTGTTATTTGAACAATGATGGTCTATGATTCTATTGCAAATATTGCATTTGAGTTTTTGATTCTTGACCATGGGTCTCTGCTAAGAAAATAATTCACTAGGATATTAAGGATTTTGGATAGTGTGTGTCCAGAAAACAGATCTGGTGACAAGCCGTACGTCGGTAACTGAAGTATAGAGGAACTGCGTGCAAGGTGGAATGGGGCAGACGATCTGTAAACTCAAAACGGTCTCTTGGCACTCTGTTTCAAGAAATGCAAGAAAAGTCAAATTTCCATCAGAGGCTATTATTTCTGTCAAATTTCCCAAATGAGTTTTAGGAATTTGATGCACACCTGCTCCTCTCTGTACCTTCACCTTTCAGAGATTGTGTTTCAATGAAATCTCGAAGGTGCCAGCAGGAAGTGGTGTAGGTGATTCACAGGATACAAATCACCTCTACTCGGTGAGTCAGGGCCGAGCCCACATCCTTACACAATATTGGGGCACCGTGCGTGGGAGAAGAAGTTTGAGGATCATTATCTGAATGGGGGTAGCACGAAATGCCATGGACCCTGAGGCGCTAAGAAGTGCTTGCCCAACAGTCAGGAGGAACGCCAGATGTAGAAAATGTCTTTCTTACTGCATGGGGTTTCCTTCACCTTGCTTCCTTACGGCTACACCGAGGGGCTCAATTAGAAGGAGGCTGGGATTTGGGGATTGGCTGACCAAGCCGATACTGCAAAGTCAAGGGCAATTCTCCAGGAGAAAATGGCTTTCCTGAATAGCAATGAAGCAAAGAAAAATGACCCCAAATAAAATGAGGTAGGTTACAGAATGAAAGAAATCATCTTATTTTCCCAATTTAACCTTTCAGAATATTTAGACCAGAATGGTAAACTCATAATGAATCATGATATTTGCCCATCCCAAGCAGGTATCAAAATCCGCTTTGTTCACGCTTTTGGTGTGGTCACGTGCCTACCCTGCTCACGGACTGTTAGTTTTGTACCTTCTTCCATGGCATTCTATAATTTTAGAATTTGTAACATAGTAGGCTTGTTAGGTCTTGTATAATTTCAAAGAGTGAATATGCTTTCACCATTTCCAGATGCCTTGTTGTTTAAAATTAAAATTTACTATTAGATAAGGCTTCACCTTGGCTACAATAACTCTAAACTCTTTATCATGTCAGATCCCAAAAAGAACTCTGTCGGTATTTTTGAACATAGTCTCCTTCCCAGAGAACTACATGAAAAGAGAGAGAGACAGAGAGAATATAAACCTTGCCTTTTTCCAGAAATCATTCTCTTCCTACAGCTTTTCAGTGCTAAGCTCATAACTAAGCTTCATTAAAAAATAAATGTAGGGGTGCCTGGGTGGCTCAATCGGTTGGGCATCCGACTCCAGCTCAGGTCATGATCTCACCATTCAGGAGTTCGAGCCCTGCGTTGGGCTCTGTGCTGACAGCTCAGAGCTTGGAGCCTGCTTCAGATCTGTGTCTCCCTCTCTCTCTGCCCCTCCCCTGCTCTCACTCTATCTTTCTCAAAAATAAATAAACATAAAAAAATAATAAATGTAAAAACCAACTATAAGGGGCGCCTGGGTGGCTCAGTCGGTTAAGCGTCCGACTTCGGCTCAGGTCATGATCTCGCGGTCTGTGAGTTCGAGTCCCGCGTCGGGCTCTGTGCCGACAGCTCAGAGCCTGGAGCCTGTTTCAGATTCTGTGTCTCCCTCTCTCTCTGACCCTCCCCCGTTCATGCTCTGTCTCTCCCTGTCTCAAAAATAAATAAAAACGTTAAAAAAAATTTAAAAA